AGAAGACTCTTGAGAGTCCCTTGGACAGCAAGGAGATCCAACCAGTCCATCCTAAAGGAAATCAGTCCTGAATATTCATTGGAAGGACTGATGCTGAAGCTGAAACTTCAATATTTTGACCACTTGATGCGAAGAACTGACTCTTTTGAAAAGACCCTGATGCTAGGAGACATTGAAGACAAGAGAAGGGGATGACAGAGGATGAGATGGTTGAATGGCATCACCAACCCCAGCAGACATGAGTTTGAGTAAACTCTGGGAGTTGGTGATGGACAAGGAGGTCTGGCGTGCTGCAGTCCATGAGGTTGCAAAGAGTTGGACGTGACTGAGTGATTAAACTGATGCATCTGCATTATTACAAAAAAGAAAGAACTTTCTGAATAAAGGATAGTCCCGCCCATGAAATGAAAGTGGATGACTATATCAACAGGTACATTTTTTTTCTGCCTCTTTTTTTCCCATTTCAATGCAGACATTGAAACTTTACTTCTGAGTCTGGCTACCTGACCAGAGTGCATTCAGGAATCACTGGACTATTTTACACTTTTCCAGGGGCAAAAGTATAGATCATGTTCGATCAAATCATTAACAATTTTCTCCAACATGCTCAACTCAATGTGCTCAACTAACTAGAGATGGTTTTCTCTTATTCTACCTTTAATACAGAAAGAAAATATACAGCTCAGAGAGACAGTGGCAAAGGAATATGGAAGAGAGCACCAGAATAAAAGTAGGCACCAGATTTTTATCCATCTCTGCCAACTAATGTGTGTCCTTGGACAAATCCAGAGTGGCAACATCTTGAAACTCATCTCTGCTCTTAGTAATTTATTATTGGCTTACCTGTGATTCCCAAAAGGTCATTGTTCTTGTATATAAAGTTTCTAAAGAACTGATGAAACAGTGAAACTTCTAAATATGTTTTTTCTTACTGTATCTTTTAATTATAACATACATATTTGTCATAGAAAGTGTGGATAATAAAGAAAAAAGGGAGAAAGGTAAACAGAAATTAGTTGTAAGTCCTGACACTGAAAGATAATATGTTGGCATCTATTCTAACTTTTTACCTCAATCAATATTCCTATTGTGACTGAGGTTTGGGATAAATTTTTCAGCTAAGGAAACTGAAGTAGTAAAAAAAAGTAACTTACTAGGACTTACTAGAATATTGCAACTTCTCAGACAGTTTGCACATATGATAATTATTGCATATCTGTATGATAACCACTCCAATTTTTTTATGGAATTGCAGACAGAGGGCCTGAATTAGCCTTTCCAGCTATAAGGTTCTCAGTGCAGTCCACATCCCATCATTCAAGTTAGCAAGTCAAAAACATCTTAAAGGCAGTTGAGAAGATCAGCCTGGTGAGCAGTTTAACCTGCTTTATACCTTTCCCAGTATTAGTAACAAAACTGCTTGTGGGAGACCATGGTTGAGAGCTTGCTTGATCATAACAACCTTGGCCGGAAACTTCAGGGTTGGGATTGAGTTCATTTGTATAGTTCCCAAATTGCCCTGTACATGGTATTCATAAATGATGTTGAGTAAAATAAAAAGTTAAGGATCTGTTATCTATTTGCTTATCTTATAACATTCATCTGCTCTTATAAAATTCATAAAGCAGACTGTAAACTTCATAAGCTTAAATATTTCCTGATGTCATATACATCATGTGTGCATGCTCAGTTGTTTCCATCGCTTCCGGCTCTTTGCGACCCTATGGACTATAGCCCGCCAGGCTTCTCAGTCCATTGGATTCTCTAGGCAAGAATACTGGAGTAGGCTACCATGCCCTCCTCCAGAGGATCTTCCCAACCCAGGAATTAAACATGCATCTCCTGCAATGCAGGCAGATTCTTTACCCACTGAACCTACCTGGGAAGTCCCATAAACTTCACAGGCATTCATTAAATATATAAAGGTTGGATGAATACATTCCCTAACCACTGTAAAACTGTACTTTCTGCTACTTAATCTAAAACCATTTTTCTAAGTTATGTATGTTTGTTGGAGAATTTTTAAACATTAACATTTTTTAAACATTAACATTTCAGCATTTGATCAATGGGTATGTTTTATTTATAATATACTACATTTGGTTTTTCTCTGCTATGTATATATGTGTACACACACACACACACACACACACACACAAACATACATATACACACACAGGTATATATAAATACTTATATATATATATATATACACACATATATATACACACAGACTTGAAACTACACCCATCTCAAGTTTCTAAGATCAAGAATACCATACTTTGAGGAAATCCTCCTACTCCCACAACTATTTTAGCCACGCACTTTTGCAGTTTGTGACATATTGGTCACCTATTGTGACCAGTTTGTGACTATGTGGCTCACTTCAGTAGCCAATGTGACTTGGCATATCTACTAGCTGGGACTGATATCTTCCTTTTTTTTTCTGTTGCAGTGCCACACATCTAATGATAACCTTTAATAAAGAGTCTATGATGGCTCCTGACTCTGCTTCCTAAAGATCATCAATTATGATGATCTAAAATAACAACTCCAAGTTCAGTTTATTTGTAGTTTGTAGTATCTCAATCTATGGCAAGGCAAAGAGATTACTGTTCACCAAGTATTCCCTATGTTCCCCTATATTTCATAGCCTTCCTTTCAGTTTGGTTAGATCATGTGGCTAGTTTCAGCCAATGGACTCTGAGCAGAAGTGGTATGTATTACTTCTGGGTCAAGGAAGTTAAGAACCAGGATAGTGGTTCTCCATGCCTCTCTTTCCTTGCTGAAGCATCTCAGAAGCCATGTGTTACAGACGAGAAGCTACAAGTCGGCAGAGTCACTATCAGCCTGGACCCCTGAGTAACTAAATGGAGAAGACTCCCCAAATCCCACAATTGGTTTTAATGTGTAACAGGAGAAATAAATTTTGTTGTGTTAGGCCAAAGAGATATGTGTTGAAGTGTGTCTATTACAGCAATCACTAGAGTTGCAGAACCTAAATAAATGTATTTCCTAAGTGCAGTACTTTACAAATACCTTTTAAAAAATGTCAGTATCTGTGTCATTGAGGTAAAAACACTTCCCTCCTCCCAATTATCCTTTTTCTCCAAGCACCCCAGCTGACTGCCCTTTGACCACAGTTGTGATGGATATATCAGATATATCATATTATGTTGGATTTCCCCCAGGATGCTTTAGTAAAACTGTTGATGAGATGAAGGGAATTAAACAGTGGATCCAGGACTTCCCTGGTGGTCCAGTGGCTAAGACTTTGGGCTCTCAATGCAAGAGCCCCAAGTACCTTCCCTGATCAGGAAACTAAATGCTGCATGCTGCAACTAAGACCCAGTGCAGCCAAATAAATCAATATCAATAAATGGATATATTTATTTAAATTTTAAAGATATAATGCTTAAAAAAAAAAAAGAAAAGGATCTGTTTCTTCATGTAAATAAAAACTGAAAAATCTGGGGCGGTAGTGTCATTCTCAGGCTAGAATCTACTATATTTCTGAACACAGTAGAAAAACTAAGTTGGAATCACTTTACTACTTTAGCATGGCTTTGTTGGTTTCCAAATAATTAATTTTGTCACCACTGTAAGTTGAATTTTTGAAATATGGGTGTTTCTTGGAAAAACTGCTGCTTCTTAAGAGAAAGAAATTCTGCCCCAGTTCATTCAGTGTCCTTTTTTGCAGTTTCTCAGCCTTTCTAGTCTTGGAGCTCTAAGAAATGACAAATGATATAGGAGCTGATTTGCAAGGTGGCTAAGAGAAGTGCATTTTGTTCCTGTCAATTAAAGAAGGGGGACTCATGTTGGGCATGGTGTTGTATAATTCTGTGGCTCCACTCAAAACCTCTTAGGATAAACAGCGTGGGAACATGGGATGCTGAAGTGGACTGCAGGAACATGTTGGCTGAGCATGGCTTTTAAGTGCTTGGCCTAACAATATTATTAATAACAGCTACCACTTACAGAGTACTTACAGGGCTAAGTGATTTCCCTGAATTGGCTCATTTGATCCTCACAAAAATCTTCTTTAAATACTGCTATTATCCCCCATTTTACAGACTAGGAAACTGTGGCCCTGAGGTGCTGAGTGGCTGGCTGGAGGTCAGAATTCCCTTTACCTGTTCCTTGATGAAGTATGAACTCAAAGCCAGGCTCCAGTCACGGCCCCATGGGAGTGGCCCTGCGGGGCTGTACTGAGCAACCTGCCCTCCTTTTGCACGGCCCACTCAGCGCCTGTGGACCAGCGGCAACCCCTGAGGTGCACACGACCTCAGCCAGGGCGCCAAGGTCCAAGGCTCTTGGCCAGAGAGGGAGTTGGCTCCACCAAGAAAGGGAAGGCACGGGAAGGCTGCAGGCCAGGAAGGCGAAGCGGCCTCTGGGGCAGAAAGGAGGCGTCCTGGCACTCGATGGAAAAGAGAAAGTGACAGAGAAGAACCTCCAGGCAGGCCTCCAGGGGTCCAGAAGCCGAACCACTTCCAGGCTGTGAGAACACAGGAAAAACTACTTTCTGGTATGCCAAAACCTCTCACTTAATTTTGATAAGAATACTTTTTAGAGAGAGAGAAATGAGTGAGGATACTAAGCTCCCAGTAGGTGGATGCTGCAGCAGAGACTCCGGGGTGCAAACCCGTGTCCGTGGCGCTGTCCCCTGCCAGCCAGCGGGAGATATTCTGCACCTTTGTGTTTCCACATCCCACGTGCCATCTAAGTCACTCCGCTGTCACCGCGAAGCCCGGGGCCGCTGGATACAAAATAATTCCAGAGAGACCTCCCTGAGCGGGGGCTGGGCTCAAAGGCTCCTTTTTGGCGCAATGGAGCATCAGCTGCTAAACTAACTAAAGTTGCTAAACTAGCCCAGCTGCTGTTTTGTCTTTTAGTGTGAATTCATGAACAGGTTGCGGATGTCTCTGCAGTATGTGAGTGAGTCTCTTTCTGAAAGAATTCACCTTGCTGAAGGGCTGATGTCTGGCACAGAAAACTCGCAGGGCTCAGCTGGCTTTGACAGGAGCCTTCCCTTCCCTGCTCGGCCACCTCCCGGAACCCCACGCCACATGCCCCCACCTCCCGAGCTGGCATGGCCTTTGCAATCCGGGATCCTGAGCCCAGCCTTCCCTCTTGACCCTCCCTGGTGGACATGACCCCAGTGGCCTGCACAGACGGAAGCAGGGAAATCAGTCAGAAGGTTCTGGAAACTGGCAGGCTCCCTCCCAGACAACCTCTGCTCCATTCTGAAAATGTGCCTGCCCCTGGGGGAGGTCCAGTCTGAGCATCACCACCAGCTTGGCATCAGCCATCATGCAGAAAGGGTCATTTCAGGGAGTATGATCCCAGATAACTGTTACTCTAGCAGAAAGCAATTAACATGTGGATGGGACATTATCCTGAGTCCTATGGGTTTGTTTAAGTATCACATCCAACTCCTTGCCACCACCTTTCTCAATATGAATGTACTCAGTTTCTGCCACGGTCATCCCATTTACCTCCTGGACCTGGATCTCCAGTGTAAAGCCAAGGATACGGGAGCAGGCATAACCCATCTGGTTGCCTGGGCTGCTGCTTTACCCAAAATGAGCCCGTGTTCTGACTGAGACTAGATCGGAATTGATGTGATACAGTTTTAAAGAAAGTCTGATATATTTTAAAGAATATATAGTCCCACACGAACACTTTAACAAATGACAAAGGGCTTCCCTGGTGGCTCAGTGGTAAAAAATTCACCTGCCAATGCAGGGGGACATAGGTTCAATCCCTGGTGCAGGAAGATCCCACATGCCAGGAGCAAGTAAGCCCATGTGCCACAACCACTAAGCCTGTGCCCTAGAGCCCATGCTCTGCAACAAGAGAAAACACTGCAATGAGGAGCCCACACACCACAACTAGAGATAGCTCCTGCTCACCACAGATAGAGAAAAGCCCACTCAGCAAGGTAAACCCAGCAGCGCCAAAAACAAATAAGTACAAATTTTTTAATGAGGAAAAGTATAAATAGCTAATAAACATGTGAAAAATCTTCAGACCTACTAGTTACTAAAGATGTGTGAGATCCTATTTTTCCCCGTCCAAATAAGCAAAATGAAAGCATTGGGTCCCCCCACACTGGCCTGGGTATGGTAAGTGTGACACTCTCTCTGGGAGCATAAACTGATGTGAAGTTTCTGGAAAATATTTGACAGCGTTTATCAAGAGCCTTAAAAATGCTCCAGGCAGATGAGTGGACTCTAAAGCAGGGGCGTGGGGGCCAAGCAAGTGTGAGTCCTGATCTCACCAATCCAGCTGTGTGCCCAGAGACAAGTCACTCTGCCTCCTTTAAAGCTCGTTTCTTCACGTATGAGAACAATGGGGTGCTTCTCCCTACCTCACAGGGCTGTTGTGAGGCTGAAGGGAAAAAATAGAGTGCTTGACACACAGGGGTGGTAGCTGTAGTGGTTGTTATTTTAAATTTCTTTGAGCCAGTAATCTGGACTGTCCCAAAGAAATAATCTGACATATAGGCAAAGAAACGTCTATCCAGTATTACTTTTTTTTGCCCTCCCTTGCACCCCCAGCATGTGGGGTTCCCCGACCAGGATCAAATCCATGCCCCATTCAGGGGAAGTGCACAGTCTTAACCACTGGATTGTCAGGGAAGTCCCTCCAGTATTACTTATGATCATAAAAACAGGGAAACAATGCATCCAGCATTAGGAGAAAAGTTAAGAAAGTTATGGTACAGCCATGTGGTTTCAGATATAAACTCAGCTAATAGCATATGATATGCACTGCTCTGTACCTTGCTTTTATTTCACTTAACAGTGTAACATTTCGCAAATTCCATGTGTCTATAGGTTAAATGCCTAGCACTGGAATTATTGAATCAAAAGATGTGTATTTAAAAATTTACAGTTATGGCCAACTTGCCCCACAGAGGTTCCAATGCACACTTGGACAAAGATATCAGAAGGCCTGTTTCTGAAGCTCTCCACATCAGTGTTATCAACCTTTGTTCTTGGCCAAGGTGAAAGTGGTATTCTATTGAAATTTCAATTTGCATTTCTTTTATTGTGAGTGAGGTTGAGCACCTTTTCATATGTTTAACAGCCATTTGTGTTTCCTTCTCACTGAATTGTCTGCTTTTGGCCTCACTTTCTATTGAGTAGTAGGTCTCTTTTTTTCCTTCATTCATTTAGCTCTTCAGTTGAAACATATGCAAATTCTTTCCTCTGGTTTATCACTTATCTTTTGATTTTTTGTGTGGTTTTTGCCATTCAGCTTTAAAATAAAAAACACACTGTCAAGGTTCTAGGAAACTGCTCATTCTGTGCTGTGACATACTGTATTGTCCTAATCCATTGACTCTTCTTGCTCTTTTTGAGCTCCTTGAGGGCTGGGACTGTGACTGTCCGCTTCATCACTTGAACCCCTGATAAGCACCCAAAAGATACCTGTTCAGTGATTGTGGTTCCACTTAGTGAGTAAGTGCCAAACAGCTGTGCCTCCTAGGTAAATCTGCATAGTGCACAAGGAAAAAATATTCTCCTGCCCTATCCACTTCTGCCACAAGACAGTCACAGTCAACTTGTAACAAAATGTGTGAATTTTCAAGGTATTACCCCAGCCTCTCTGCTGGCTCAGATGGTCAAGAGGCTGCCTGCAATGCAGGAGACCAGGGTTTGATCCCTGTGTTGGGAAGATCCCCCGGAGAAGGAAATTGCAAGCCACTCCAGTATTCTTGCCTGGAGAATCCCATGGACAGAAGAGCCTGGCAAGCCCCAGTCCAAGGGGTCCCAAAGAGTCGGACACAACTGAGGAAGTAACACTTCACTTCACCCCAAGACTCAGATGTTAGCAGCCTCAATATTCAAGGTCACACTGAGAGTTGACCGGTCCACCCCAGCCTCCCACCTGGCCAGCCCCAGCCCACCATCCCAGTGGG